GGGGGCAGAAGATGGAAAAAACAAACAAACAGAAACCAGTGCCAAAAAAAGAGAAAAGAAAAAAAAAAAACGAAAGCCCCCCAAAAAAAAAAAAAAAAAAAAAAAAAAAAAGCTCCAGATGAAAGAGAATAGATAAGTATTTTGCGGTATAAAAATAAAGTGCCTGTTAAGTATGATGTCGTAAGCAGTATAAAATTTCTATAAGCTGGCATATGTGTTACATGTAGTTCAAAGATGATCCTTCATTTTCTACCAATCTGGTTTTTAACCTGCTGTTCTGAGGCCATAAACTCTCAGAGGGAAGTCCTCTGTAATTTTACATGGAATTTGATGACTTAGAGGCCCATGGCAGGAATTATGGAGAGGGAGTTTTCTCAACTCCACAGCTCCTATAGAGAGACCAAAGCTCATTATCTGAATCTTGGACTAGTTCATTTTACAAAACCACAAAAGAGCATAAACTATGTTAACTCCTTCAATTTCATTCTTTAGGTGATGTATTCTATTCATTTCCTAGAAATATATATTAGATGTCAGTGGATAGAGGGGAAGGAGGGCTAAGTATGCCCAGAACATTAGAAGGACATATAGTGGGAAATCAGAAGTTAGATTAGGCTAATTTTTCATGGAGACAATCCTTCAAGCTTTCCCAGGAAATAAAAGGCTTCTAGTGAGAAGAAACAATAGACCTGAACAGCAGGAGTGTTTGGGACGGGAGCCAGGGAGCAAGAGTCACTAACAGAGAGTGGTAATTTGGAATGATTTGCTGTTTTATGTTGTGAAGCACCAAGACACAGCTGGTGTGTACTGGCTAACCTGAGGATTTGTAGTAACTGCATTGAAATGGTAATGAAGTTTTTACTTTATGATTGCAGATGTTTGTGGATTATTGTTATTAAGCTTATTAGTGTAACAGTACAAATATGAGATTTTTATTTACTTGGTCTCTTATTTATGGGAGCTTTGTTAAAGTCTTTTAAACTGAAGTCAAGAAAACAAAAGCCATGCAATAACCAAAATGTGCTGAACCATCGGGCTGGCCTTACCACGTGTGTGGGTGTGCTCAACATAGGATCCTCCTACACTGGAGATAAATCTCAGTGTTCCCATTGTTGTGCCCTGGGTCATGTTGTGAAGTAATCTGCTCATAGGTAAAACAATTAACAGTTGTATTAACCATGGTCACTCTCACTGATTCTGGAGTTGAATCGCCTAGTCCTACTCTGCCATTGACAAGTGTGTAACATTACGCACTTAACCAACCTCCTCCACGTGCCTCAGTTTCCTCCTCTGTAAAGTTAGGTTTAAAAAAATGCTACCTCTTTCATAAAGTCATTGTGAGAATTAAGTGACATTATATGAATAGAGCACTTATCAATTACTGTTAGCTGTTACCTAAAAGATCTTTTGATGTGGGAGAACACCTAAGCATTTTATTCAAAAGGTTTGAGACAAAAACTTCTGTTGGAAACTATTATCTTGCAGAGTTATCTGTTTGATCAAACAATTCAAAGAAGATACACATATGTATACTATGTGGATAACTAGCTTTCAAGCAACAATATAAATAATATTCAGTTGTTAGTTTATTGTTAGGCATAATATGATCTCTTTTGGTGATTCTGAAACTGCTGAAGAATCTTGAAATTTCTCAAGATATTGTCATCAGTGAACATTGAACAGTATCATGGAATAGATTGACCAGCGTTTGTGATTCCAGTTATAAAAATTCCAGATGATTTGCTTTCATTATAGTTGTCTTCCTAGCTAGCCGTAAAGACACTGTAAATATATAGGAAGAGAAATGAGCATCTCCAAGGAATTTAATTTCTAACTTGCTGGAATAATTTCCTTAGGTTAGAAATATCAAAATTCCTCAAAATATCCCATATGTAAAAATAGAGTCATTACCATTATGCATTTCAAAATTAAAATGATTACTAGTTGACCAATTAAAGAGAAGCCTTTTTCATATTTACGATTCAGCAATTCCTGCCAGTGTCGAGATGTGATCTTGATGATGTAGAGCCAGTTTGGGACACTAATGAAGAATCCTGTGATTCACAGTCGAATATATCTGGAGTCTATTCAGAAATTTACAATAAAGTTGACAACTAATAAAAGTTGTCAAATGGGTATATCTTCTGTAGTTTTTTTGGGTTTTGTTTGTTTGTTTGTTTGCGGTACGCAGCCCTCTCACTGTTGTGGCCTCTCCCATTATGGAGCACAGGCTCCGGACACGCAGGCTCGGTGGCCGTGGCTCACGGGCCTAGCCGCTCCGCGGTATGTGGGATCTTCCCGGACCGGGGCACGAACCCCTGTCCACTGCATCGGCAGGCAGACTCTCAACCACTGCGCCACCAGGGAAACCCTGTAGTTTTAATTGTAGCACAATTAAAATAGGTTCCTGGTCCAGAGGTGGTAGGGTAATACTGTAAGAGTAATAGCTTAAGATTTTTTTTAAAAGGTTCCACTATAAATACTATAGTATGTAGTTTATAAAATTGTATGATCACCTTAATGTGTTGATAACCTACTTCCTTAAACCAAGGTGGGTCCTAATGACGTTGGAAGCAATAAGAAAGCACTGTGTAAATTATTAAGCACTATTTGGGGGATGCGGGAATGTCAGGGAATTGGGAAGCAAACTGAGTTCTAATGTTTGTTCTAATGTTCTTATGTTCTCAAGCACATTAATTCTTCTGAGGAACAGCTTCCATTAGGCACTTTCATAGTATCTTAAACCAGCACACACCAATACCATAGGCTGTCATCAAGAAGATTTTTATACAAAAACAAGGTCTTCAGAAATTATATTTTATATATCATTATTATAACTTAATTGCTTACAATGTATATACTTCTAATTCAAAAACAATTCACTTAAATAAGTTCTGTTCTCTATGGAGATTTTTCCAAAGTGAAGCTTGTAACTATAAGTATAATGGAAGCCTGGAGCTGCATAGAGAAAGATTTCATGAGAACAAAGCCAACTCAGGGGAGAACTGAGCCAAGAGATGGAAAGAGACAGACCCTGGTGACATTTGAGGCCTCCAGATTCAACCATGCCTGTGATTCAACCTTGGTTCTGTGAGCCAGCAAGTTCCCTGTATGGCTTATGCCTATTGAAGCTGGATTTCTGTAACTTAAAAACCAAGAGAATCCTGACTAATACAGTGGTCAAAAGTTTTGGGGAAATGCTTCAAACTATATCTCTTTCTTGCACATTCCCAATGTACACTAATTTATTAAAAGATCTGAGAAAACCTGCTGTACAGAAACTTGTTTATCTTTGTTAACCCACTGTTTCCCAAACTTTATTGATGGTAGAACCTCTTTTTACCCAACACCTATGAACATCTATTCCACTGAGCACATTTTGGGAGATGATGTTCTTTAAGGGCAAGGAAGAAAGAGTTGTCAAAATTGTATAGGGACCACTACGTTTGACCTCAGCGGTACTCCAGAGATGCACTGAAAAGGAAGCCATTAAGTGAAGTAGCCTCTTATTAGATGAGCAAGTCTAAGTGGGTAGCACCAGGGTATGGACCATCAAGACCTCCATCATCTCTTTAAATGGCAGATTATGAGGTGCTCACTCTAACTGCTGGTTCTTCCTCTGCCATGCACCAATATTTTCATTGTTTTTCCTGACTTCATTCCCCTCCACAAGGATCTCCACTACCTGTAAAATGAAGTCATGCCAGGCCATTTGGAGCTTCTTTATTTAAAGTGGCAATGAACCTCATTTTCCAGGCTCCCGTCACATTTCCCAACCCTGCACTTGCAAGCTTCAGCTTCTGAAATGAGTCTCAGCTGTCTTAACTTCTGCCAGGTAATGACCATCTTTTCCACAACCCCATTCAAGTCTGAAGACCTGAGAACCAGAAGAGCTGATGGTGTAAGATCCAGTCTAAGTAAAGGAGAAAACCAATGTCTCAGCTTGAAAGCAGAAAGAGAATTCTGCCATACCCTGCCTCTTGTTCTACTCAGGCCTCCGAGGGATTGGATGAGGCCCACCCACATTGAGGGAGCACAATCTGCTTTGCTCAGTCTATGGATTCAAATGTTAATCTCATCCAGAAACAGCCTAGAATAATGTTTAACCAAATATCTGAGCACCCCGTGTCCCAATCAAGTTGACACATACAATTAACCACACAATAACAAAATCACATATCCTTCTGCTTCACTGAGTCCCAAGGATTTGTCCCAGAAGCATGGGCTCTTTGAAATTTCATAGTCCCCCCTTGTCATCATGGCCTATGATATCACCTCTTTTAGTTCAGCAGTTCCTAGCCTTGCTTGACATCAAAACTCTATAGTATTATAAAAACATGGATTT